CCCCCCCCCCCCCCATGGTATTTTGTTCGGACATGGGCGAAACTTTCTACCGGAACCGGAATAACAGGGTGCTCAGAGAGGCGACCTGCCGGAAGAAGGAGAGACGATAGAAATCTGGGGTTCCAAGTACGTGCTGAAATCAGTGCTCGAGGACATCAAGGCGATATCCAGATATCGTGTGAGCAAGGACCGAGACGTGCTCGACAAGCCCTTGTCCTCGATCCGGAAGACCACGGTGCAGGTGGACGTGGACATCGGCTGTACCGAGACGTTCTTCGTCTCCGACGATCGGACGGAGGAGGTGCGTTGTTGTCGGCGGCAGATCGATCAGTCAGCCCTCCTCGTGTTATATCTCTCCTCCCTGTCGCCCTTTGAGGAAGTTCGCACCGCCTGGTTTTGTCTGTCCGTTGGTCTCTCGTTTTTTTTTCACTCTTCGCCGGCTCTGACGGTTTCAGGTTCGATGAGATGACGTATGAATGTTGTGCTTTCCCATCTCTCCGTCGTTGCCAACCCCGTTGTTGCCCTCTGTTTGTATTAGTGGACAACCCGCTCCTATAACCCTCCGCTGCATGGCTTTTGTTCAGTTTTTCGGGCGATCGTGTTCCTGAGGCCCCTTATTCGTCGTCGCCCTCGTCCCCTGTTATCCCAAACCTTGCAGATTGTGCAAGGGAGTAAGGCCTTCGCCGTCCGCAAGCATCGGCTCCGTCTGGAGTCGTCTCCTTTTTTAAAGCGCGATTTCCAGTGGTCGGTGAGAAAGACACACGAGGCAAATCCAAGCCCTCCTTCTACTTGTGACGATGAAAGGAAGAGAAACGAGATGCTCGGCGGAGGTGGCCATTTATTCGGCTGGCGTGCGAGGCTGGTGTGGTTGACGTTTCCCTTGTCTTGAGGTGGTGTTCCTCTGCAAACCGTCCCGGCCATTCAAGCGGGGGTGTATGACCGCTACTCTCTTGTCCACGCACCGCCGTTGGTCTGCCCGTCACTTGACCTGGTTGACGTCATTTCCCGCTCGCCTTCGTGAAAGTTGTTTCATGTGTTGTGCGTTGTTCGCTGATATCTATCCCGGTCTCGATGTCCCAACCTTTCGTTGTCTACGCGCACCCGTCCCCGCCCCGGCCACATGTCGTCCACGCACGTTGTCGCTCGTGTGGCGTGAATACAGGTGGTGGATTTAGACGACTGGATGAAGGGCAACACGTTCTGGTGAATGGAGGCTCACCCAATGGCTTCGCCTCTCGCTTATACGCTTGCTTGATTCAGCGCCACTGAGGAAAGCGGCACGCCTCTCGTTAGCGTGTGTGTAGGGATGGGGTCGTATCCCAAGCTGTAGTTCACTGGCGACCGTTTTGTGTGTTCGTTTTGCCGAGATGTACACGCATGCATACGATGCGATTATTTTTGTGATCCAGAAACCCGACCGCTGTCAACCGCTGTGTCGCGGAAGCAGTCCCTTCTTTTTTTGCTTCTGGTACGAAAGGGTCGCCTGATGTTCAGCTGTATTCGGATTCTTCACGCACTGCGGCAGCTCCTTCCCTTGCGGTCCCTTTCGGGATGACAAAAGTGAAGAGGGCGAGAGAGCCTTCACCGAAACTCAGAAAGCGGTAACATGTTCGCCCAGCCTCCCAGGGCCCTTCGCGCTTTCGATGTTCTTCCACTTCCACAGGACGAAGTATCAGATGATGGATGCGGCCACAAGGGTCCGACGTTTCGATCCCCAAAGTGCGTTTGACCCGCGGACTCAGAGAATAGTTACCCTAGTTTAGTGCTGTGGCCTTCGAAAAAATATACGGCAGACAGAGGGTTGAACGAACACACGCCTGTACGCACATACGGGCCGAGCGCCCGTTGTCCAAGCGGAGACAACGCGCAGCCGGCTGCTACTGCCACATTGCTTGCATGCACATGGCAATCTCGTGGGTGACGACGGGTGCTACCCCTGTTCAAAGGCAAGATACCGAGCATGGGGGGCTGGGGGATGGGGTCGGGGGGGACGTTCGACACACACACGCCACAGTCATTTCTACGAAATCCCATTTTACGATTGATGCAGATGCAAACACGTTTGTTTCTCCATCGTGTGTGTGTCCACTTCAGTCCTTTTGAGTGGGCGTGTGAGCATCTCCCTCAGGTGTGTTGTGTTCTGCGGCCTCTTTGGGGTCTTGAGTGTGGTCTGTGTGCTTCGTGTCGCCTATCGGAGCAAAAGGGAAGGGGCGGGTGGGGGCACCGATTTCTTTTTTGTGTTTCGTTTCATGTTATGTACACTACTACCCTGCATAGAGCTGTTCAACTTGCTTCTCTCTTGTTTCACTTGCAGTGTTCCACTTCCCGAGCCCGGGAGACATGCCGTGGCTTATTCCAACTCATCCACACCATGCTTGTGGCAACTCTTGCCCGGTGCTTTCAACCCTCTCATCCCTGCCCTCAGGGTTCAAACATCAAACCGAGCGGGGCGGAAACACAGCAAACGAACGATTCACATTCGATTTAGGGTTCATCAGAAGAGATGCGGAGACCAGGTCGACCGCGACCAGCCCCTGGAGGCTTCCTGATAGCCCTGGCCACCGCCAGGAAGAGCTTCACACGGGCCTTCTGCTTCGGTGGCGGTAGTAGCAGCAGCGTTGGGAAGCGGCTGTTTCGGAGCACTGCGGCGGAATCGTCTGCGAAAGCTGAGACCGGTCCCCGCGGTCTTGCAACCGCGACGCCGCCAGAGTCGCCCTTCCCGCCCGCCGGAGACGACGGCGAGCTCGAGTCGTTCTTCTTGTTACGGCATGGGCAGACCAATTTCAACGCCATAGGGCGTATCCAGGTGCGTGTTGTGTATTTGTTTTTGTGGGCGAGTGTTTCGTCCTCGGGAGCTGCTCTCTATTCTGTCTACTGCTGTAGTGCGAGTGTTGTACAAGTATGATGTATTATACGACTCTTCGCTGTAGCGCATCGACCATGGATACAAGGCCGTCACGACGAGCGAGCAGTTGACGACGAGCAGTCAAAGGGTCTTACGCTTGGGGCGTTGACGTCAACGCTTCGCTGTGTGACGCACGGCCCTGTGCGGGAGTGCCGTCAACCTGTGTGAGCCGTACGTGCGGCGATGCTCTAGGGAGGGACGCGTATGTTGCGATCGAGCCAGCGCTCGCTCGCACCACAGCTAGCTACAGCTAGCAGACACCAGCAGCAGTTTTGTGTTGTCGAAGTCGACTTGTTCGCGTCCAGCCGAACTCTCGCCGAAATTTCCGTCGTGTAATCTGGATGAACTCTGCTTGGTGCTACGTACCCGCGCGTGTGCTGGTCTCTGCTGCAGGGAACGTTGGATTCGTCGATCCTGACGGAGGAAGGCATCTCGCAAGCGTTGGAGGCTGGCAAGACGCTTGCCTCATACGCCGACCTGGACCTGGGTCCCACGGTGGTAGTTTCTCCGATGGGCCGGGCTCAGCAGACGCTGGAGTGCGTGCGGCAGGAGCTTAGGAAGAGCGAGATTAGCAAGGATTTCGAGACTGTGGAAATCGTGCCAGACATTCGGGAAATCGAGCTCTTTGAGTGGTGAGTGGCTAACCGTTCGTGCTGACCCATATGTTTCGTAGGAAGGAGTACATGTAGTCGTCACAGAACAACGAGCTGTCGGCGATTATTCTAAGAGGGTGTGTACCGGTATTGAAGGCTAGGATTGAGAACATCCTGCCGGGTGCGGGGTTGTATTGTCGGTTAAAGTTTAAGTCCTTACAGCAGTATCTACCGTGAGAAACCGGCGATGCCAGCCGGACCCATATGTTAGGCTGTGTTACGAGGAAGGTGTTCTACACCCATGAGTCTAGTAAGCGCTCTCGTCTTGTAAGTGTTAAAACAGCAGCACCTCAACCAGGGCGTATTGTGGGGAGGTGCGGTCTTGTTTTTTTACGTACGGCTGTCTCCGCTGTGCTGTTCGTGGCATCTCTGACGGCTACGGCATCCACTGAATGTGGGCGTGCGTTTAGCCGCAAACATTGTTAGCACTCACATCTTCACAGAGGTGTTCCTCGCACACCCCCAGGCTGTCCGAAGGGGTTCAACGGCCCTGGTGCAGCAGAACACAGGGCACAAAACTTGTTTACCTGCAGACGTATTCGCGCGTGTGGGGTGTTGCAAACGTATGCAAGCTAAACAAGCGTTGTTCCAGCTCTGCCAAGAAAGGGTACCCGGCGAGCGCTTTCCGCCACAGCTTGTTCACTGCCGGAACACTGCTGTAAGCAGACACGGGTCATCGACCGCGTCACAAACCAATCCTCGGTGTTGAAACTTTTGGATTATTGCAAGTTCTCACTCGGGTGTGTTTTCTTTTGGAGGGTGAATGCAGCAGCAAGCACACAAAGCAAGGAAACCTTTTCAGGTCGAACCCAACCCGTCCTCCCAACCTCTCACGGCCAATCTTCTCCGGCTCGTAATCGGTGTCCATTCATTCTTCGCCTCTGGCCATTCGTGTACCTCCTTCCGGTGGAGCTCTCCCTCTTAGTGATTGTTTTTTAGAAAATGTACATTCACGGCATGGCACCCTTTATCGCAGCTGCGTGTTGCAGGCGATGGTAATAATACCTACGTACGTCCGGTCGCAGAGGTACCCCCACTATCAATAACAACCAAGGCTAAACGTACTCCGTAAACTTGCAGGAAAACAGTACCATGATCCTCCGGCCGCGTCGGCGACAGCAGTTCTCAGTATTTTGTCTAGGTCACAGCAGCTACGGAGTGAAAACTCTTACACAGCAGCAGCCGTGATTTCCATCCGCTCCTACGTACTGCTGCTGTTCAACGGCAGCTTTCTGCTCCAATCCCTTGGGTTTTTGTTTTTTCCGGCAAACTGCTCAGCCCGACACACACTCCCCGGTTTCCCTCCGTGTGTTTTCCCCGCGCAGGCAGGGACAGCTTAAGGAAGACATAATCAAGAATAATCCAGAGCTCTACGCCTCGTGGGTGGCAGACCCGTCCAATTTTAACTTTTCCGGGAGGTAGGCAACCAAGCCCGCCGAGGACGACCTTGCTCTTTTAGTGGCAGCTGCACTTCGTTCTGCGAAAGGAAAGGCTTACGATTTGACGGGGAGTTAGTTGTGTCTGGGATGGTGACGCGTCGCGTTCTTCTCCCGATCTTGTTTCTCTGCTCATTTGTTTTGTAGAGAATATGCGTTGTGCATGCGATGTCGCCAATGAGAATGATCGTTGTGTCCGTGAGCGGTGATACCAAGCTTGTTTTTTAGGAAATACACATACAATCGAAGAGAGACTTTCCGTTCGAGATGAAATAACATTCGAAGTGGATGGGCTGGAGCTTCTTGCTGCGGCGTGACGCATCTCTCCTATATATTTGTTTCGATATGTGTCCCGTCGGAAACTACCACCATCACCGCCGAAAACCCTGCCAACACCCGCATATCCCGCTCACTCGGCTGACACAGATACCCCGCGAGAGACCTGTGGAAAAGGGCCAGCAACGCCTGGGACCAGATCCGGTCCCTCCAGTCCGTCCAGGACCAATCGCGGACCCTCGTTGTCGCCCACAACGCCATCAATCAGGCGCTCCTGTGGACCGCCTTCGGCTGCGACACGACCTACTTCCGAAAGCTATCGTGGCCGAACTGCGCGGTGCTGGAGCTGCAGTGGCGGCGCGGGGAGGCGAGGGCGGAGCGGTACCGGTGGGTCGTGCCCGAGGCGTCGGACTTTGTGGAGGCGGCGGACGCTGCGCGGCTTCTCAAGGACGGCGAAGACGACAACAGATACACCCTTTGAGATTGGAACTAATCACCGCCGGCGGCGGATTGTTCCGTCGGGGGGGGGTTCGCGGATGAACGCGGTATGGTGGGGTGTTGGATGCGACGTTTGCTTTTGACCAGGTCGTCTGCTGGGTAACCGGTGCACCCTGTGAGGTTGGATCGATCACGCGTGGCGGCGGCGAAGACGACAGCCGACACACCGCTTGAATTGATATCACAAGGCGGTGGTGGCAACGGTTACGCAGCGGGGGGGGGGGGTCGGATGCGAAGCAGCCCGCAGAAAAGAACGTGAGGGGGGCGCGTCGTCGGCTGCTTTCGTTCGGAAATATGCCGTCGTTGTATGGAAATGGGTTGCAGCAAATGGGAAAACCACGACTTATATTGCAGCTTGCTATTTTGACCAACGTCGTCTGCTAGGTGGTGTGTGATAGGGGAATGGGATGCAAACCGTTGAGGATGCTTTCTATGTGCGTGGGCCGTGATTTTTGAAAGGGGCGAGCGAGCGAGCGAGCGCCCCCGCAAGGTATGGGATGTTTTTGGGTGTGTGTCTTGAAAGCACGTTTTTTTACGGCGGCCGGGAGCATTAAGAAACCGCCAGGTGAAGAACGAAGCCGTTTCTCGTAAAATCGTCTAACGAAGTCGAGTTGATGTTCTCCAGCTGAACACAAACAAGGCCAAGGAGTGCTTCGGTGTGATTGTCGTTGCAGCCGCGATGGCTGTCTTTGTAGCGTGGGTGTTGCCATCATATACTGGGGGGTACCGCAGTTCTCGTAGAAGGCTTGACGCAAACAGTGTTTTTTGTTATCTTCGCTTTTTTCCATAGATTAGACTAGACAGAGGCGGTTTCTTTTTGTTGTGGTTGTAGAAGGATGGGGCGGGCGCCATGTGGAGCTTTTTTTGTCTGTGAAGCCAAGAACGGTGTTCGCTTGCGTGCTGGCGTCTGCTATGGTCAGTGAATGGTGAAACGATAGGGGTGTGTGTTGCGCCATGTGTACAGCAGACGAGTGTTGGATCGGCTTGTGCAGTTGCCATGATGCATTTCGTGCGTTACAACAATGTGCGAGCAAGTGTGTTGTTGGTTAGCATCGACCGCGCTGCTGACCAAGTGCCCAATGACAGCACATATGGTACCGTGTTTGTGTCTTTTTCTCGTTTGTCTACAGTAATATGTGCTTTGCCATGTTCGCTGGCGCCATTGCGGGCCGCTGCCAGTGTCAAGCGTCTCTCGCTGGTGTGAAATGTTGGCTAATCCGCTCTTGCTAGGTGAACATTCACGTTATTTCTCTGACAAGTTTTCGGAGCGGTGATGCTAGTCTTCTTGACATTTTTTTGGTTTGGCGAAGAATGGGTGACGCTGTTCTTTTTGACATTTTTGGTGAGGAGTTGTCAGTTGACCATGGAAGAAAGAAACAAACGCATGAAACGCACAGAGCACTGTTGGCAGTGAGAGAGGTCGAGAACGCCTACGACGAAAGGCACTGCTTGCAAGCTTGAACCAACAGTAACGTTCCGATGTGCCCCTGGTGAGTGCGCGTCAAACGTGTACCAAGAGGTGTAGACTGGCGCCCAGAATATGGATGGGGCAACCACACACGCAGTAACAACATGGACAGAGGCATGGAAAATACCCGAAACAAGGAAAAGCCGTTCAGAATGAACTTGCCAGCTAGCAGACGTGATTGCCCTGAATTTTTTCACGCATGGTTGCGAGACGGTGCTGTGCCGTACAAGTTTCACATCAGACTGACCTGCAGGCGCCAAACCGATAACGCAGCCCCTGCTGTTGAGCTGACATGTGCAAGGAGCCCGACCTGAGATCAAGCTACTGCAGTTTAGGCGTAGTATGCCTTCCCTTTTTTCTTTACCAGCGGCTCTCTTCGCTGGTTGCAAGCAGGACAAAAGGCCCCAACTAACTGCTTAGCTAGATTACAGACGCGGACTCTGATTCTCTATAAACGCAATGAGTCACGCCAAAAGTTGGATGTCATGGCGTGCACCTGAGGGAGAGCTGGGGCACGCCGGCGATCGTACGCGCTAGGCTGCCTTCTCTCTCTCCCTCTCCGAACATCACAATATAAGTTCGACTCAAACGCTCCTTACACCTTTGGGGTGCAGAGATCGAGCCTATGCTCGCACTTGTAGTACGGTTTGGGCTCCCAACCTTCCAAAGGTGGCACATCTTCCTTCTCCAGCATGCTCGACAGTTCGACGCTGGACGGTGCGTGATGGCCGACAAGGAAACCGCTCTGATACCGGTCGTACGAATCGGCCGGTATCAAGGTACCCCTATCCCTGAGCTTCGAAGTCTTCATGATTGTGAGGTGAGGCGTGAACTCGAAGCTGTCGCTGCTTGTGCCGCTGCCGTCGCCCCCGTCGCCCCTCTTTCCACCCTTACGGCTTGGAAAACCTGCGGCTCCTTCCACGAGACCGGCCTCGGAAAACCGTTGGTGGAGCGAGGACGCCAACCCCCTGAGCCTGGTCGCTTGCTCGTCTTCCACAAGCTTTGCGAACAAAACCTTGTTCCGAAAGTGACCGAGGTCTCGGAAGGAGAGCGTCAAGGGTGAGGCCGCCGTTGCCCCCGGCGCTGTCTCGTTGCTGTCCCCTATGCCGAGAGCAGCCGGATGCATACCGTCATCAGGCACGCTCTCTGTGCTGCTGGCTGATGCCGGGAGGTCAACTTCGGGGGAGAGGCCGTGCTCCAGCAGGAGGTCTCCGCAGTGTTCGAGGGTATCTCTGGCTTGCTGCGGGCAGAAGACGAATGCTGTGATGCTTGGCTCCAAAGAAAAAAAAACTGGTGATATGAATACGAGTACTCCAGAGTCGGGTACCGGTGACGCGGGATGACGCTTAGCAAAATTCCATGTCGTCGTTGGTGATCACTCTTCCGTACAACTAACTGTGAAGCGTGTGTTCATAAATGTATCGACCGTGTGATGTATCGGCCGTGTGTGGCTATCCAACAGCACCGCGATCTTCAATTCACCTGCAAGCTACCGTCTTCCTCGCTGAGCCTCAGCACGAAGAGCGTCAGGTGCGAGGCTTGGACCGGGATTGCCGCGTCTGTCAGGTGCTGGTTTCCGGCCAAGATGTCACCCTGGATGGTTGATATCTAAGGTTTCATCGAGCGACAAAAATATTGAAAACATGAACTTGTTGAGAAACATTTTGTTAAGGAACGGAGGCTCAAATTTCCACGAATCTAAAGGAAATAAATCTACTTTGTACGCAACCTTGTTAAGCGGTGGATCCTGCACAATCATACAGCATTTGAGCAGTAAACCCTGTGCTCTGCAGAAACTACAAATGTCGACCCGGAGTTGACGTTTCTTATCTGAGGGCCTGTATTAGTACTGATGCGCGACGTCTCTTTTGGCGAGACTGCGGCTCAGCCTCCATACAAGCCATACGGATGAACAAGATACGAGGAGACAGGGCACTCACCATTGCCCATATCTGCGGATTGTCGATCCGTACCGACAGGAAGTGGGTGGGCCGAGGCGGTCGAATTGCATTCCCCCGTGGCCTTGCCGATGCTCCGGCCCATCGATTGCGTCCTCGAGGAGCTCCGCCGCCTCCGTGTCTTGCTGTCATGTATAGTACAAACGCCGAAATCATCCTGATGCTCCTACTACGCGATTAGGCGCGCCTGGCGGGATACATACAGCCGGGACGACGAGTAAACATGCGCAAATTTGAAATCAAAGGTGAACGAAGAGGCGTGCTGAACATCTTGGTCCATATCGGCATGCAAACTACCCATCAATCCCGAAGTCGGTCACCTGCAAACGCACTCTTGTGGCTCGAGGTTGAGACAGTGGTACCCGCTCCCGCTCTTGCGCACGGGCGGCGTTGCAGTCACAACAGCAGTTGCATTTGCTTGGGAGTAGTGGGAGGCGGGACACGGAGAGACGGCAGATGGTGGAGGACACCAAATGTTTCAGTCACGACTCCCCCGCAAAATCTGTCCATCCATGTGCGGTGCCCCTCGAGGCTACGGACAACTTGCTTGTTGCCATACCCAAACAAACCAGCTGCACCACCCTAAGCACGTCTCCTCCTCCACATGGCTTCTCCTCTGAAAGACGTGGCTGCAATGCCTGAGGGAGCCCAGCGTGAAAAGTTGAGCGACACAGCCGATCAGGCACAGGTCGCGACGGACGAAGCGGTGAGAAGTGATCTTTTTTCGACGGGTAAATTCGGAACATGCACGCGCTGTTGCACTGCCGTGTCACCATGATCGACCCAAAACCCACATACCTAAAGAGTGACTACTTCAAAGGAAGCAAAGACAGTGGAGTCCAAGATTATGTCTTGTAGGCTTATAGGAGTTACAGCGGTATCACATGGATTGATTTCTCCGCCTCGCCGCTTGACTCACAGCTTGGATGGATATTCCAGGATATCTTACTCCTTCTGGGGACCCTGGATTCAATGCAAATTTGCAAAAAGGATGGCAAACGCACGAGCAATGTGACTCGGTCACGGTACCAAACCTCGTAATTCCATATTCTCTCTTCCTCCACCTCTCTATATCTCTGCCTCGTGTGTGGTGTGTCTGCGGAGCCGCAAGTGAAGCAGGCCATAGTTTTTCTCACTGAATGTATAGGCCCAACCTTCTGATACCCCAATTGGATCCACTGCTGTACCGCCGTTCGTTCACAAGTTGTTTCGGCGGATGAAGTCCCTGCCTGGTTCGGAGGGAAGCCCCACGCTTCACAACCAAACGTGTGTATCCACTCGTGCCGATGATCGTGACAGGGTAACGACACTGCGGCAACCACTGCTGTTGTTATCGAGGGCGGAGGGGAGAACCAAGAACGGGAACCTTCTGACGACGAATCTGAGGGCGAGATCCCGTTCGAACCTTTTGACATCAACGACGACGGTCGGATCCTCAAGACAGCGAGCCAATGCTCACGAGGATCATGGAAACGCCCTGAGGCGGGGTGGGACGTGACCGTAACCGTTCACCGCTTCTGCGAACTGTCCCCGTCGAAGGCGGAAGCAACACCAACGGATACCGACGGCGTGAAAGCAGTCCACAACAAAGATGCAAGAGAGATAGTAAGGCAGGTTGAGCCCGAGTTCTTGCAGCTAGAGTTCAGACTGGGGGAGGACGAAGAGGAAGGCTTTCCGCAGGTAAGACGTAAGCCGACGATATCTCAGGGGCACGTGCCTGCATGTTTCGATTGTGAAAAGTGGCGACCGTATCACCGCTGTTGCTTCCGTTCGAAGCAACAGCAGCTGTAGCATTGCTGTGTGTTGTTGTGGTGTGTGTTTGCATATCCTCCAACCACAACAGCGCTGGGACAATGTCCGATGTATTTCACAATTGTAGCGTGTTTTTCATGGAGAAGGTCGGTGCTACCTGGTTGCCCGTGTTGATTGCGTCGTCTCTTTTTCGGTGCTGTCCCTGGCAGGAAGTACTCCAACAGGCGAACGCTGCAGGGGTGGAACTCCACCCCTTGCTGCACTGCGGGATCGAGACCATGGGCAGAAACGAGCTTGCGACCTTCGTCGTGACCGCCGAAGGCGTCGTTGCTGGCGCCCAAGAGAACGCCGCCGACAGCAGCAGTAAGCCACCGGCCGACCGTCGCTTCGAGTATGTGATCTCTCTCGACGACTGGATGGAGGAGGTCGATCTTAGCGAGCGGCAGGATAACTCGTTGATGAAGCGCGTCGTGCGGGAGGGCGACGGCGTGACGCGGCCGGTGGAGATCGGCGGGGTGACCGTACGGTACTTGTGTTTGTCGACTAGACTTGAAACAGGAAGTCCCGGCAACTGGGCCCTCATTCTACTTTGTTCGACGGCTGCCCTGGTTGTTGACAGAGAGAGTTTTGAGTTCGACGAATTTGAAGCAATCTCATCACTCTCCTTATCTTCGTGGGCGAAAGGATGACCGGGAGTCGGAAAAGGCGTACCTAGCTCGGCAGGCCACGATAGTTACCCAGCACGGACGAGACTTTAAAAAAAAAGAGACACACTCTGTTCATTGCGTGAGCTGTGCCTTCCCACCTTAATCTTGGTCCCAACCCCCATGTCCGTATTTACCCCCACGGCTCTCTCTCGTGGTGTTTGGCACGGTGGTCACGCCACAACGCCAATCAAAGCTGCCGCGTGGTTCGTGTGCCGATAGCCCAAGAGCCCGCTGAGCAGCAGCAGCAGCAGGGAGACGACAACGGCGAAATCGTGGTGTTCGACAACCTCCAGAGCCAGGAAGAGGCGCCCGGGAGCAACGGCGACGACGACGGAGGAAGCGACGGCCTCAAAGGCCCCCTGAGCTTCGTGCTGGACGACTGCCCCTTCGGGCCCGGCGTGATGGCTGTCGTGAAGAGCATGAGCAAGGGCGAGAAGTGCGACGCCTGGCTGAACCCCAAGCACGGTCCGGGTGAGAAAAGAACACCGAGCGCAACCCCGTTCAGTCACGCTCCCCCAAAACCCTGAGCAATGCAGATACGACGTGAGTGCCCCTTGTCTAGAAACAAGGGGAACCCAAACGATGAGGTGAGTATGCCGACGTGTCTGCATCGCCCGACAAGCCCTGGGCCTGTACTACTGCATCTAAACCTCAGACACCACCCCATGGGAAAGTCGCCAAAGCAGCACCCCTCGTGGCGTTGCCCCCGGTGACAGTCTCACCCCCTTCGCCCTTCCCTCGCCCTGCTAATGCCGCATTCTGGCTTTAATCCAACCCCTCTTGCATCTAATACGAATGCGGTTGGCTGCAGTTGACGACCTAGATGACGGACGGTTTTACCACCGAGTGGTTCTGGAGCTTGTGGAAGTGGAAGAGCTTCCCCCGGTGTTTGCCGCAGAGGAGGTTCGCCTAGAGATGTCCAGTAGATTCAAGGTCGAAGGGAACGAGAAGTTCATCGCCGGTGACTACCCCAGGTTAGTTAGCGTGTGGGGAGGAAACTCAGTAGCCGGGGGCAAATGGCGTTCCATTGTGCGGCATGATACCGTGCATGAGCAGGAGGACGGGTCTGTGTTGGTGATGCGTATCGGGATAGATATGCCGTGGTAATAACAGTGCAATAATCTGATCGAGGCTAGATTTCCAAGCAGTCAGTGCCCAACGTACAAACGAACATCGTTTCACATAAGAAAAATCCTCCGTACACAGACACCGGAACTCCGCCACAAAATTTCCGGGTGAAGGCCGTCTCGGAATATGGCAGTCAGGGTCTCAATTTTGCTCCGACATGGTTTTAGGGGGCAACGCCTGCATCATTGAACACTCCTTGAACCATACACGCACTCAAGAGGCTCCCGCCACTAGATTCATGAACGTCGACCTCCCAACGCCGTTTAGCTGATTGTATTGAGCTGAGCGAAGGAGCTGCTCCTGAACCACCCGGCCTTCCTCTACCCCTCTGGAAGCTAGAACGCTCCGTCCTGTCCGGGTGATTTTCCGTTCCCCAGGGCGTCACGACGCTATGAGAAGGCAATCAAGTACGCCGACGGGGTGCCGCCAGGCCAAGACTCCGAAGACGGCGGCGGTGACGGGGACGAGACCAGCAGCTCCTCCTCGGACACGACGCAGGCCAATGACGACACCAACCATAGCGAGAGCCGGGGAGGAACGCACGGGGACAAATTCGTTGACCTGCAGGTCGCCGTCCTGTGCAACCAAGCCGCGTGCTTCCTCAAGATGGGGCAGGCGCTCTCCGCTCTGGCAGCGGCCGAACGCGCGTCTTCTCTCAAGGCCGTTGCTGCTGATTGCCCCGCCGGGATCAAGGCCGCCTACCGCCGGGCGTGCGCGCTGGAGGCGGTCGGGGACTGGGGAGAGGCGCGCCGCGCGTTTAGGAACGTTCTGGACGTGGACCCCAAGAACTCGCAGTGCCGTCAGGTAGGGGAGGTCTACCGGCCTGGGGGAGCGTGTAGGACCTTCATGACGGTTGTCACGATGCAAAAATAGCTCGTAGTCATTCTTTTTGTGGATTATTGTTCTGTGCGCGTAGTCTACCTTAGATAGATTCGGCACGCTGAAGCGCGCACCAAGGAGAGGTGGCCCTGAGTAGAACCTGCCGGAGATGTGTGAGTGTTTTGAGAACCCCACCAGCTCTACACGCGAGAAAATCGCAAGCGACTGACTTTGCTTCGCCCGGGCAACCCCCCCGTCCCGTCCCGTCCCTCAGGGCCTCGCGCGCCTCGCCCGCGCGGAAAAGGCATACGAGGCAAACCTGCGCAAGACGTTCGGCGGCTGCCTTGCGTCCGACAAGCTCAAGGGTTTCGCCTCGGAAGGTCGCGAAGTGCCGGAGTCATCGCCCCGCCCGGGAAACGACGACGACTTCTACGGCGGCCGCGGCTCAGACCAAGACGGCCCGTGGACCGAGGAGAGCGAGAGCGGATCATCGGAGAGCGGAGACGAATCCAGCAGCGACGGCGGCGACGAGGAGAAGGAAAAGAAGAGGGTCGATGCTCTGTACGACCTGGCCACCCGCGAGGGCGGCGGTGGTGGCGAAGCAACCGCGGAGGATAACACGACGGTGACGGATGCAACGGAGCCCGGAAAAGAAGCGGCAAGCACGGTCCCCGCGGCGGCGGCGGCGGCGGCAGGAGCTGCTCCTTGTTCAGAACCTGCCACTGCGTGCGAAGTTATCCCCCTCTAGTCGCTGCCGGATCTTGCGAAGGAGTTCGCGGTTGCCGACGACTCCGCCGGGGAGGCAAATGGCCTGGCCGGCAAGGAGGGCGCCAACAACGCCGGAGCCCAGGCAGGCGACGACGCCGCCGAGGTTGTGTACCGCCGTAAAGAGTAGTGGCTGTGGTTCATGCAACACGCAATGATTGTGCCCACGCAATGCCTGCTTGCTTACGCCATGCCGCTTGCTCACTCTCGTGCCTTTTAGGGGTAGGAAGACAAGTGCCGCTCCCTCCCCGCAAGGATAGAGACAAAACAGCTGTGAGCCGACGCCGCGGCATGGAAAATTGAATCAATGGATTTCTGGTGAAACAGGATGATTTGGGTGTGCGAATGTGGTGTGATGTCCAAGATGTTCCCGTTGTTGCGCTCTCCAAGAAAGGGGTGGGGTGGGGGGGTCTCCATCAACCATCGATTGCAACGACGGCACATTGGGCGACACAAGTGGATGCAGGCAAACCGTACGGCAAGGATTGGGGGGACATTTCTCGGAGAGGCCACGACCTTTGTTGCCTTCCGTTTGTTTCGAGGTCGACAATTTTGAGCAGGTTGAAGCGCATATGGCATGATGATTGCCGCAAACCCAATGTCTTGAGAGTATGTACGTCGGCTGCGGTCAGCGTTGTACAGGAAGGAATTCTTCAACTACTCGCGATGTCGTGATAATGTGATAATTTGTTTTGGCATATGAGAGAGGGTGGGCAATACATGCACGGGACACGACACAACACAACACCAATCAGCTCGAAGCAACCAACACGAACGTCAACATTAGCAACCGGACACGTCCCTCTGAATACCGACCGTGAAGGGCACACACACGCAACAAGCCGTCTCGTTCTACAGACAAACTGCTGACCGCCGATGAGGCCCATTGGACTAGAAGCACATCCCCAGGCACGGTCCAGCGAGAGTCTATTTTCTTGGTCCCGTCTACTCTGGGCGCCAATCTCGACATTTCGGAAGATCTTTGACGTATAAGCCGGGGTCACACGGAAAATTCTCCGCCTCTCCTCCCGCAGCAAGTACGTGCCCTCATTTTTAAAGTGTGCAGGTTTCAGCAATCACTTCCCTCTTGTTCGTCTGCACTCACGACTACCGGTGAACATTTGGAACGGCACTAGCAACACAAAGCGAGAGAGAGAGAGGAAAACCCCCCGGCAAATGAAGACTTGCCCGACAACAAAAAACAACCTTGGGAAACGGTAACGAACATTTCCCGACATCAAAACACAACGACCTTGGAAGAGAACTTCCTCTTGGCAGACGATCCCCCTTTCCCCGGTGCTTGGTGGGCAACGCCACCGCTACTTCCCGACCAGAGCTGCTCTTCCGTCCCATCGGGGTGCTCGAAAGATGCGTCGGGAACGTCGTCGGGGTCGTAGTAACCGTCGTCCTCGAGGTCGTCGCCTCCGATCCGCGACGCCGGTACTCTCTTCGAGCCTGCTGCACGGCGCGGTGCCAGAGGGGTAACAACCGAGCAAACACAACATGAACAAAAAAAACAACAAAAATGGAACACCCCCGTGTATTCTGAACCTTAGGTGCCACGTTGCGTCAAGTGTACCCAAGGGTGCAGACTGGAGAAACATCAGATGGGGACAAAAACATACACACCATTCCAGTATTTTGGAAAGAAAGCAGAGTTGTTATTCCTTGGTAGATTTTCACGTTAAGCGTTGCTGGGCCTTCCGTTTTTTTGCCTGCGAGGGGCGTCGCGACAATCGAACAACGAAAGGTACAACTGGAGTACTCCACTTTCGTGTGCTTCTACAATAACTCGAGGGGCAAACGGTGCGGCAGGTGTCAAAAGCTTGAGTCGAACGCTCGGTATTGGACTTCGTTTTCAGCAAACGCCAAAGCTAACTAAGCTGAACACATAGTTTTGGAACCTGGAGAGCAAACCATGAGTACGCTCTCCCACCTCCCTCCTTCCGCCGTTCCTACCGATCACACCCACGTATCACAAGCACGACATACATGCAGAAGACGGCTCCCTCACCTCTCGCGCTAGACGCTACGGAGCTGCCGGTAACCTTTCGACGTTTTGGGGTAACCTCTTCCGCCCTCCCGCCTACGGCACCCCCGCCGCCGGCAGATCTTTCTGCCTTGCCGCCGCCTCCTCTTGCATCCTTGGATGCCGTTCCTCTGTCCTTGCCGCTATCGCCAGGTCCCGGAACAACGTCGTCCGCAGAGGCAGTACCGACAGCGTCGTCCTTCTTGACGCTATTGTTGAGCTTCTTCTTGTCCACCTTGGTGCTCTCCGGGCAGTCCCACGATAGGTGGTGCTTGGAGCCGCACCCCTTGGAGTGAAACGTTCCGGAGAGTAGAGGCGGGAGGAGGAGGGGGGGAGTCGTGATTTGCATGCCTTAGCGGTGAGACCATTGATGTTGTGCATGCCGTAGCTGTTAGACCATGGACCACGCGTCCTCGAGAGGATGGAAACGTAGAGCAATGGAAGGCGGGAGGATTTCAATGCTGCCAACCTGACTTAGTCGTTTTTTGTCGATTAGCCACGTATCCCTGTCGAGAAGGAGTAACGTTCCAACTCCAAACAGAGGCGGCGGCGGGGGAGGCACCGCACCGTTTGCAGAGCGAGCAATCATACAGAAATGGGCCAATGAGACGCATGATCCCAAGAATAGTTCTCTGTAATCGCGATAATAAAACCTTTGCGACAGTCAGGCGGCTGCCTGCCTGCTTAGGAAGTAGCCACGACGGTCTCGGTTGCTTCACAAGACCCGGGGAATTGTTTGATTTCGTACTTCGCTACCACCTCGCGGTGAAACAACCACCCAAAGCCAAGTGCCACTGCGATAAACAAACAAACAAACAAAGCAAGAAGGGCCCCGTACGTGGCTGCGAGCGCGAGGCGCGACTCAGTCTCACGACAACAGTGGCCTCAGGTACGAGAACGAACCACTGGTCACCTTGCAAAAGCCGCCCTTGGGATACACGCCGTTCGCGTTCTGCTTGCAGTGCGCGCTGATGTGTCCCTTCGCCTTGCAGACGAAGCACGTGGCGTGGGGCAGGCTTCCGTCCTTCTGCTTCGGAACGGGGCACACCCGCAGCGCGTGCTTGGTGGATCCGCAGTTGAAGCAGATGCCCGTAGCAGCCTGGTTCGGCAGCGGCACGAGACAAAGAAAGAGGAGACGGGAGCGTACGATAGGGGGAGGATTGGCGTGGACTTCCTACGCAGATATAGTAAGTTTAGTACGAAATAGACCAGACAGGGGGGCAAGCAGACCCTAACCCTAACTTCGCCGATTCTATACGTTATCCAGTACGTTTGTATGCATAGAAAAACCCGCGTAGAGTACTGATTGGCATGTATGCGTACTGAGTGGTGGGACTGAGACCGAACCTTCGCTTCTGGACAATTGGCCACGATGTGGCCCCAAGCTCTGCACCCCAAGCAGCGAGTCTTGTTCGCTCCCGGCCCCAGCTGGTTCTGTTTTTCTCGCGCTTCGTACGCCCTGCGGGACGACGACAGTCCGGCCGCGCGCAACAGCGGAGAAGCACAAGTTGTCCGGGGGTTAAGGCATCACGTCAGAGTTGCTGCTGTCATGCACGTGGCTGCTGTTGTTGCTGCTGCTGATGCTGATTTGTGTCCTGGTAGGTCACGAGTAACGCCGTGAGATTTCTCAACGTACAGCTTTGATTTTAGCGCGCGGAGGCACCAAGGATGAAGGTACACAAACCTTGCGATCGACAAGGTAGCGTTAGGACATTCACGGAGCAACGAGAGCATGAAGTACATACATGTGAGGCTTTCATATACTACCACCACCACCCCCCTTACCTCCACCTCTGCCGCCCTAGACCACGGGCAACAGTAGGACGTCTCAACGAGGACAAGAGGGATCACAATTACACCTGTACACGCCGTCACCCCCCCGCGTTTCAAGCCTACCATTGCTGTTCCTGTAACCCACGATGCTTGTGGCGAGGACCGCCGACACGCGGGCGGTAAAGAGAGCATGAGTAAAAAGAACACGGACGTGGCCGTACCGTGATAGCACAAGGGAAAACCCACCGTCCCTCTTGCTACAACGACAGTCAATTACAATCTCTCGTGCTTTCCACTGAGTGGTTGTACAGCACCGCTCGAACCTGTTGCGTGAAGATTGTTTCGATCAGCAGCATCTACATCGTGCCCGTAACAACATTAAAGCATGGACCCATCCCGACTCACTTCTGCGTGTACTTCGCCCGACGCTCCTCCTTCGTCATCTTGGGCTTGGGACCCTTCTTCTTCGTTCGACCAGGAGCCGGGCTCGCGCCACTACTCACACCGCCCCCCCCCCTCCCCCCCTTGCCTTGCCTCTCTCTCTCCTTCTTCGCTTTCTTCGCAAGCCTGTCGCGAGGGGGAACCAAAAACAGAGCGCATGGTGGGTGCGCGTTGCGGCAAGCGTTGGTGAGCACCGAAAACTGTGAGGAAAAGCCGATTCGTGTGGTGGTGTATTGCCTCGCCGTCAAGACTCGGCATTAGATCGTGGAGGCCTCGCGAAGCGAGAGGGCCCATTATGGAGAATGTTGCCACGTCCTCCTAGCTACCGTAGGTTGCAGATGATAAGATACCACACCCGTGTGATCACAATTTTTGGGGTACCAAAGTCATCACGCGGGTATTCTGTATGGGGTGTGATATCTTGTGTCACCCGTGTGATGAAGCGCACTCACAGAACCCCACGTACAAGGGTGTGTGATAATTTTGGGGTGCCCTGACGTCGCCTGTCATCAAGTGCGCTCAAAGTAGCAATCCACCAACAGGGTGTGACGAAAGGAAAAAAGGGAATCAAGAGGGGGTATGCAGTAGATTATGTTGTCCGGGCCTCAGTAGCACATGTGGTGTCGTGCACGGCTGCTGAGGGCATTGTCTCCGTAGGGGTCACGCGTTCCCCCGCGGCGGGTTGATAAATGGACGTTATGGAGCGCGGAGCCGCCGCTGGAGTCTGAACCCCAGCAGTCTGAGCCGCGGGGCTTTCAGCGGGGTTGTGAACTGCACCTCCCTCCGCGGTATTGTCGGCCTCCATCGTCTTTGCGCGCAGGTTTCTTCGCTTGTGTGCTTGTGATCACGTGTTGTCACGTCGTCCCACCGTGTGATGAGAGGGGGCTCGGTCGATAACAAACAGCTCAACCCTAGTTGGGGGTTGTATGTCATGTCCATGGTGCGTTCGTTAAAATTACGTTTCTTTCGGGGCTAAAACAGTTAGCACAACGGGTTTGTTATTCTGTAACTTTTCCAAGGGGGAATGGTACCTTATGTAAGTGTGATACCTTTTTCAGCCCACAGTGACCCAGCAATTATTGTACCCAACAGCCGTGTGCGTGTGGGTTGACACCAGGGATCAAGGACATTTTTTTATTTTTGCCGCCAGCAAACCATGCGTGTGTCACCACCCCACGCAGTGGCAACAGGGACGTTCTCTGTTCCGGGTGGAGGCAAAGCAGGGGGAGTCGACCAAGGATCACACGCAAAGCAGCGTGTGGTCGCATTAGGCCCGGAGTACACCTGTTGTACATGCAATGGCTCTCTTCGGTAGAACAGGCGAGACTGGCAGCTGGCAGCAAGCGTGTGCTTGTCAACAGCTCTACGCCAGCAGCAGTGACAGGCTGTTTGCCTCGCGGGTGCACCACGAACACACCATCAGCGCGTTTGGAACAAACGAGGTACCGCCCCCATTCTAGTGCCCCTTCCAGCAGCCCCCAGTACCGTTCAGCTGGAATACTATCTTCCGCGCAATCACACAATACATACGCCTGCCCAAGCTCTCTTACGACCAGCAACCACAACTAGCCGAGCCGCGTAGCATGTCCAATCTCGCCGCATCCAGGGGGAGTACATCGGCGCACCTCTGGCGACGTGCTGCACGAACACCATTTCAGGATACGGCACAGCGTAGCAGTGCACACCATAGGCGCTCTGGGGTCGGTTGTGCACTGCTACGGTACACTCGAATGTTATTTCGCGGCGCATGGACACACAACCCTCGCTTTGGTTGAACGGCGACGTGCACCATACACATCTCCAAGCCACAGAAGCCGGAAATATCCAAGGCTGCGAGTGAGAACCGCGTTTTCTTTTCTCACCTCCTCCTCTCGGTCTTGCTCAGGTCCGACGCTAGACCCTGGCTCATCTCTTCCATAGATCTCTTCATAGTCATCTTCCAGATAGCTGCAACACCAACGAGAGTATAGCTGTCCCAGCGGATGCTGGTTGTGACGGCTGCAGGCTGAGCTTTGCCTCGGAGGCCCCGCGAGATCATCACAGGGTGCCTCCTTGCGCTTCTCACAGTCCCTTGACCGCCATGACACACGCAGTCGTGCAGTCGTTTTGCCATCACACACGTCCCGCTCCCTCTGCTTTGAGGGTGACATGGGAGAAGTTTCGCGGGTGCTCTCCCTGCTGAGGGAAGAGACCTCCATTGCTGACGAGGTGCTCGGTGCCCTCGCTAGATGTCAAAGGCAAGGACTGGAAGGTGTAAGGTTGCGTGTTACGATCAGGTCGGCGAACGCTGCTTCAGTGTTTTCCCGGCGTGCCACCCTTGAGTGCAAGCGAGTTTGAACCTGGCAAGCAGGTAGTAGGCTGCTTGGTTTGTAATGTTTACTTTGCATTTTGCTTCTACTGCTGTAGGTTGCTGCCGATCTCGCTGCTGATGATCACCTGTCGATTAATTCTCTCTGTCTGCGAGAGGAATTTGAATAACCCCTCGGCGCTATGGTACGGTACGCTCATACATCTGTACCGCGCACTGTATCTGTCCTTTCGGTCGTGCAGCGGGACCAAACTCGACGCAAACGCGCGGGCGGCGATAAGAAAAGCCCTGGTCCTTCTGAAGGGGAAGGAGGCAAAGCTGACCAAGGCTGGCGAAGCACGTGAGTATGGCTCGTATGTCGCTGGCCCGCGCGACGATCACATCGGTGAATTACCAAGTGGCGGCCATCCAAGCAAGTACAGCGGCGCACTTTGAACTGCCCGATGTTTACGACGCACGAAAACATGCTGTGGTGTTGAGTTGACGTGCTTTCTGACATGCACGCGGGCGCAGTCTGCCAACCAATCAGCCCAACTGTTACTCCTTTTCGCCGTTTTCCCCGCATACCGACCCCGCGCCCGCTTCGTCCATCCCAAAGTACGCGAGCATCAACAGCTGCACGCGGAGGTTGAGTCCCTCCGGCAAGAAGTGAGGTCCGGGGAGCAACAAGTTCAAGACTGCGCCCGAAGACTCACGGAGGCCGATGCGGCGCTTCGAGGGCCTCTGAGGGACGCCAAGCGCTTGCTGGAGGCAGGCCGAAAAGCGGAAGCTGGTGAGTTTCAGCAACCACGTTCGCTCAAGATATGATGGTGGCCTGTTCCCAGCTAGCCCCTTTAGCTCGAAACGTGAGCTCGACCCGCTTAAGGTCAGAGCAGGTGTCTACTGACTCCACCCTGAACCTACCCAGCACGCATACAGTTCAAATATTTCGCCACCGGATGTTATACATACTCCATCTGCACGCTTACTTGTAGCAGTTTTCGAGCTCCTGTTCCTTCGTTGCAACCCCCCGCCCTCCCCCTCCCCGCACACGGAGCTACCCCCCCCCCCCCCCCCCCCCCCCCCCCCCCCCCCCCCCCCCCCCCCC